GTTCGGAACAGTGGTGTTGTATCAAGAAAGAAAAATTTAAATTTCTAGGTACTTTTGTTGAAGGTTCCGAGCTTCGCGTCCCGGATTGTTGGTTGTTCTGTTTAAATTTGCAGATTATTTGTTGTTGAAAATTCGGGGCGTGACACTCTCAATCATGATTGATGTCAACTATTGGTTTATTCTGTTTAGTGTTTTTGGTTGGGAGAATGGTGAATTCATGCACATAAAACATAAACTAGTTTTCCTTCGGCATACTCATTTTCAAATGTATGTGAGGAATGTTGCATGAACTTGGCCTCTTTTTCTAAGCTCAAAGTTAGTTATGGGCAAATAATAGATTTAAAAACCAATCCACATTCAAAAGTGCAGAGTAAAATTTAGAGTTGCCATTGCCTATCTACTAATAGGTAGAAAGGATATTAGGTTTTCTTTTTTCTTTTTCTTTTGGTTACTAATGAGGTAGGAAGGGAAAGGGAGCCTGGTGGTATATAATATATATATGCTCTCTACCATTTAAAACCTCCAGAAAATATTAGAATTTAATTCAATAGTTTCTAATTACCTCTTTTTTTAACCTTTTTTCCTTGTTCATTTTTTCATATTTTGCTCTATTTATGAACATTGCTTAGAGATGCAGAAGGCTTTGGTTTGATTAAGGTTCCCAGAATGCTTGCAGGCATCCCAAAAGGCGTGTTTTCTTTAGGACCAGGTAAGATCGATTACAATTGATCACAACTAGTATAACTATATTAAAAAACAGTCAGATGGTATGTCAATCACCCAAATCTTAAAGCCATCTTATGAAAATAGTTAGTATAACAATACCATAAAAAACAATAGGGCATATTTAACAGCAATTCATTTTGCATAAAAAGCACAGAAGACATTGATCCAATTTCAAAACTTTGAGAGATACAATCGCTTCTATACACACACTTGAGACCTACATTACAAGTAGCACCTGAGGATTCTGATTACGCGACGAGTACAAGCCAAATGAAGATTCAATCCTCAAGCCAAAAACACATGGAATCAATAGGCTTAATCCACCAGAGGAATTTACCTCAATACACTAACCGCTGTCATGGATTATGGAGGCTGTTGCTGTTGTACATTCCATACATTACACTCCCACTTCTCAACTGCAAAAGATTTTATACCATTCAAACAGCTGCAAGATTGTTATTGAGGGTGGAGGTTGGCAAAAAGAGATGATGAAGAAATAAAAAGTGTACCCGCTCAACAGCATTTGCCATGCCTGACACATCTAGCCTTTCTTTCTTTAAAAGCTCTACACGATCCCGAAGACACTGATTCTGTTCTTCAGCCTACACTTAGGGAGGAAAAAAAAAATTTAAAAAAAAGGAAGCAAACACTCGTATTATGTTATGATTAAATAGATGTTCCTTTTAAAATGTGAGAGAATAAATTCAATGAGTTAATGCATGTTTTGGAAGTGAAGGAATTTGTCTGGAGAAGATTTCACATCAACAAGAAACCAGATGTGTGTGCGCAGTTGTGAGAGAGAGAGATGTTCAAATTTGATTAACCATCAACCCCATAAAAAGTTTCTGGACAGCCAAACGAGTAGAAACTAGGAAAAGTTACTATACTACAAGCTAAGGGGAAAACATCAGTGAATCAATGCTCTTCAATTAAAAACCCATGCATTTTAATTGCTGTTAAACTATCCTTACTTTTTCCCAGTAAGAATTCCTTCCATGCGTATCCCAGCTACATACTTGTTTTATGCACAAATGATAGGGTGAAAACCCTTGACTAGTAAAAGTGCTTGGTAACAGTTCCACAGGGCATATCCTATTACCTGGGATTTAATCTCGCCTTTATAGGATTTGGGGTTTTACTCTTTGTGTAGGCTGATAGGCCCAGTGGAACTCCAATTGATCTCAATGAACCAGACAGATGTGAGACCCTAGTACTCTTGAATTCTAGAACACAATATATATACTCCGTGTGTGTATAAATGTAGACAATTCCCTAAAAACTAGATGATATCATCTCTACCAAGCAGCTTCTAATTGGAGTTTAAGTTTGAATATATCTACCGTTTCCAGCATCTTTGTCAAGTACTGGATTTGATCCTTCTTCATTGTGGACAGATCATGAGCAACATCCATTACATTAGTCCTGCATGAATCAGTACATGTTTAAACAATGCAGTTTACACTAATAGGCACTGTAAGAGATAATATGAAATGTAACTATATAGATTAAGATGGATACTATCAAGATAAGGCTCCCTGTCCGCCATAGTACCAAAAGAAAAGTGGATAAGACCACCTCTTGGATGGTTTTCATGCACTGTTAGAGTAGTGGGGGCAATTGGGGAGGTGGGGGGGATGTATGTACAGAACCTCTACAACTTCAACAATGGAAGTCAACACAAGGGCCTTTATTATACACTCTTGTAAGCTTCATTAGTTACCAAAGCAACTGAACACTAGCCTAAACAAAAGGGCCTTTATTATACACTCTTGTCTTCCCCCTTGCATTCATATGTTCTGCATGAACATATGTATCTTGTACTTACCATTCTATTGAAACATGATGGCATGTGTTGCATTACATTTAGGATGAGTTATGAATCTAGAAAGCAAAATGGAAAAAAGCACGAATACGCATACAATTCTTGGCAATTTTAACAGTCAACCAACACTCAGTTTCTTTTTCTTTTATATATTTTTTTTTGGTCCAGGGAAAGGAGTTACTAAAAGGCCATATATTCATTTTGTCAAGAAATCAAGAAAATACTTACTTATCTGAAAACAAACGATCCAGAGCTTGTTCTTCCACAAGTTGTTCAACAGTATCAAGAGCAGTTCCCACCTGCAAGCAGAGAGAGAGTATACATAACAAGAATTGAATGCAAAGAATAAAGAAAACTATGATGTATAATATATAACGTATATTAGAAGTTAGAACCAAGAGGATCTTGAACTAATAGTTAGGTCAAAAAAAAAAAAAACATCAGAGCAGGGTTAGTTTGCTTATTAATTCTATTTGTAAACTGTATACAAGCATGTTAGGCACATCATACAGCCATAAATGCTATTGTTTTCACTCAACAGTAATCATCTGAAGATTCCATCTGTTAGACATGTGATTCCTTTAGGATTATAATAATGTCTAAATTAGTAAGAACCAGAGATACTTCTTGTTGCCTGCATAAAACAGAAATGAGTTGGGTCCTAGGAATCATCATTAGCCACCACTAGTTCCCTCTCGTCATGGAACCTCTCATTGAATCAACTATTACCCCATTTTCGGAAATTACTTAAAAACATAAATGATCAAAAAAATGTCATCATTTCACTGGACATGGGTATGAGCTTATTTATACACGAGGCTTCAAATTACACAACACAAGGGCCCAGCATATGCATGTTGACACAAATTACTAAATGTTTCTTTGAAAACTAATAAAATTCTAAAACTTATCCCATGTTTTTCCTAATCATGGTAGATCCAACTTCTATCCTTTCAGTCCTTGGTATTCCTCTTTTTACTAAAATTTTCATCTGCAGTGCCTTCTGGTATCAGAATTTGCCCGAATTTTAATGACTTGCTCTAAAACCAGTTCATCGTCTTTTTTCCTTTGTTTTAAGCCATAATAGTTTTGTATAAATATATCAAGAATATCACAGGTCAGCTAGGTGTCTAAGCATGTCTTAATGTATTCATTTCCAAAATAGGTCTAACTAAACGACCATCTAATGCATAACCATATTTTCTTTGCTAAAATAGCATTAATTGGTGGCAGTAAGTGAGCCAGTGGAATGAACATTTCTTGTTAAGTAACTCTACAACAAAGCTGCAATTACATTAACACAAACTCCATGTAAAAGAAATTCATTACTAAGGTATAAATTAACACTCAAATAAAGCAACTATCAGACCCAACTAGAACTCTTTTATAACAACCAGAAGGCTATTTACACGAGAAAATATGCTTCGTGCATTAAAGTGACCTCCCTCACTTAAAACTCACTCTCTCTAATTTCAGAAATAACTTGTAAGCTAATTACACAGAAGAATCTACATAAGTTGTTAAATGGAATAACTGTGCATTAATGTCATCACAAAATATTGATATGTATACCTGTGTTTCAAGGCATACTGACTGAAACTCATCCTGTAAAATTAAAAAGGACAAATTCTTCAGAATTCAGCAAAAAGCATTATAAAATACATTATCACGTATAAATACACAAATAAATACTCCTGATGAGATCCCCAAATGCACACCACCATTCAACATATCATTAAATACTCTGATAAGAACATTTAAGAAATCAAGAGAAGAAATGCATTGTTAATATTGGCAATTGGTATGAAATGAATTACCTCTACATTTCCATGCAAAGACGTGATGACCTGAAAATTTGTATACGACAGCAATGAAATGAGCATTTGTTCTGAATTTGAACTCAAAAAAGAGAAAAGCTCTTCTTGAATAATATGGGAAACCCTCTATCCAAATCTCTGCTTATAAAGTGCAGAGAAATAAACAAAAAGTCTACGTCGATTATTAAATGACATATCTGTACCTGAATAAACATCCTATGAAGACGCTCTTGCTCGGCAGTTGTAAAATTGGGAAATGCTTGGCAAAATTCCTTTTGTGTTCATCATAAAACAAAGTCAGTCAATTGAATCTGGAGGAAGAAATACATAAATTCGAAAGAATAAAATAAAATTTCCAGACACAATGAAATGGGTATCTTTCGACTTTGAAATGGCAACTGAGCAAACCCATTTCTAAAGAAGATGAAATCGTAAGTAAAGAAACCTGCTTAGAACAGGGAGTGAGCAGAGAACGAATGCAGAACTTGAAGGATTTCTTCATCTCCATATGCCTCGTCCCCATCGCAGACACAAAATATTCTGATTTTTTTATAGAGATAGTACAGAACGATTTAGATCCACACAAGACCAGAGTGATTCAACACAACATTCAGAACTAAGTAAACAGTGCATCATGAAATTAGGGTTTACTAGACTAAAGAAAATAAAGAGGGAAATTGTACACCGGCAGAAATTGAAGTGCCTTCGGTATCTTCTTCTTGTAGATGCAGATGTCGTGGTCCGGCTCGTGAAGAATCCAAAGATTGTGAGTGAAATTTGAGAACAAACAAAAGGAAAATAGAAAGAGAGGGAAATTTGAATGCTAGCTTAAGATATGAGGTTAAGGCAACGATAAGTATTAAATATTGAATTATATATTGAAATAAGTGGATCTTTAATCACCAAGCGCATCTGGTGTAGTGGTAGTATCCATAGTATGAAATATCGATAATATTTCGGTTATTTCGAATCACGGATATTTTGGAACATATTCATGTACATATCTATAAATATCGATAATATCGACGATAATACCGGAAAATATCGATGTCGATAATTTCACTCACACTTCAGCAATATTTTGTCAAAATATCAGTGTAATATCGCTAAAATATCGAAAATATTGAAAATATCGATGTAAAGGAAAAAAAAAGAAAAAAAAAGAAAAAAAAAGGGAGAAAAAAACACACAAAGGGGATTTGAACCACTCCTATTTTACTCCTCCAACACCTTAACCATCATATCACTTATGTTTTTGTGATAATATGCTAAAATATTTATATTTATATGGGTGGCATGTTAACAATTACATGCAAAACTATTTGTGGGGATTTATCATTTGATGACTACTCTTCACAATACACTTACTCTACACATAGAGATGATGAAGATAGTGAAAAATTTGAACCTCATAGGAACTCTATGTGGTACTAAGTCACTCATGTATCTTACCATGTAATGTATAAAATGTAAAATATTATAGTAAATCATTATATATAAATGATTATGGTGTGTTTAATCTTTTTTCATTAATTACTACATATTTTTTACACTCAGTGTTTGCTAGCTCACTGTATAATCAACTTAAATCTGTTAAATCCATCATGCAATGTATTTCCTTCTTTTTTTTTTGTGATAAACTAATAGATAATTGATTAAATAAACATTCTCCAAAGTTTCAATAAAAATTTCCAAGTTTTTCTTACAATTTCCGTGGTTTTTATTCAATTTTTATCGATATCGATAATATCCCGATATTTCCACCGAAATTTCCGTGTTTTTGGACTACCGATATTTCCGATATCATCAATATTTTAGACCTTGGTAGTATTAGGGGTGGTTGCGGTTCGGTAACTGCGACTTTTTGCCCAAACCGCAAACCGACCGACTATTTGCGGTATGGTGATTTTTGAAACCGCGAACCGACCGCGTTTTGCGGTTTACCGCATTGCGGTAAACCGCAAAAAGCGGTCGGTTACCGTGAATTAGCGGTTTAAAACCGCAAGTTCTTTTTGTGTCATAAAAATCCAACTTCTCAAGCATCACAACCTAAAGAAAATTAAAGTTCAATTCCAAGCATTCCAATTAAAGTTAAACTTCTCAAGCATTCCAATTCCAAATTCTTTAAAGTTACAAACGAAAAGGAAAATACAATGCAAAATGAATTAAAGTTTACAACCCAAAAGAAAATCCAATTTAAAGTTAATTAAAGTTACAAACTAAAAGGAAAATGCAATGCACCAATATTACAAACTAAAGTTACCAACTCAAGTGTTGGTGGTGGTAAGTGGATTTGAAGAACCCCATTGTGTTGATTGAGCACCAATGCTATCTACAAATAAAACAACATAAGTTTAGTACATTTTATTATAAGAAGAAGCATAAATAACATGAGCAAAAATAAACTAATTACTTACAAGTTGTCATATATTCCATTTCCTTGTAGAATTCAACCTCATCATCCGTTGGTTCCTTGTAAAAGGAAAATTCGTCCGCTCTAAGCCAATCACTAGTACACACTAATGCCTCTACCATTTTAGGATGCAAAGAACTTCTAAAAGGATCCACAATCCTCTTGCCTAAGCTAAAAGCATTTTCACTAGCAACCGTAGAACTTGGAATTGCAAAGATATCCTTGGCAACTTGTGAAAGAATAGGATATCTTGTTTGATTCCCTTTCCACCAATTCAAGAGATTGAATTGTTTGCTCAATGGGCTCTCAAAAGGATCCGTCAAGTATTTATCCACTTCATTGGATATCTCAACGGATTGCTCATCCTTCCTCTTTTGCACAAGTTGTTGCATTAGTTGAAATGTGACATCAACATCGTCACCAATTTGTGCAACCTCATCATCAACCTCATCCTCATCAATTTGGCTCATAACACCCGCAACCCCTTTATACTCATTATACAATTCATTCAAACACTTTACAACCTCCTTAACAATCTCATCTTGTTTTCTAGCATCCGCCCCAAGATTTCCAAAGCTTATTTGGAGCATTTGAAGGGTAGTATCATAGTATGCTCCCACGGTACTGACCAGGGTTCGATTCCCTGGATGCTTATTCAACTTTTTTAGCATTTTTCAATTTTATGATTTAAGTCCCACTCTCTATTGAATGGAATATCAATGAACCAAAAGATGTCGGTTGAATCATACAAAGGACAAGCTACCAAAATTGCTACGTAAAAATTGTGGTGGTATCAAATCCCATATAAAGCGTGAGAATGGGCCCTTTTGATAATCATTTCAATTTTAGTTTTTAGTTTTTTATAAATATTATTTGGTGTTAGAGTATAGAGAAAAATGAGAGTGAGAATGGGAGTAAGGATGAGATTGAAAGATAGGATGAGAATGGGGGATGAGAGGGAGGCGTAACAAAAGGAGGTAACGATGAAGTTTTTCCTAATCTTGATTTGATAGGTAAATGCACACCAACGTGCAAGAAGGATCAAGAGTTGCAGATTTTTGTTGCATCCTTTCTACTCTGTTATGACCACCATATAAAGTACTTATTTGCTTTTTTCTTTTGAAGGCATTCATCGCCCGTTGATATGTGGCACCGGCATTCTTGAGACCGAATGGCATCACCACATACTCAAAGGTTCCAATAGAACCGGGACATCTAAAGGCTGTTTTGTGGACATCCTTCTCGACTATGCAAATTTGATTATAGCCGAAGTGTCCTTCCATGAAGGATAAGATTTCATGCTTAGCTGCCCCATCAATCAAGAGGTCGGCCACAGACATGGGGTATTCATATTTAGGAGTTGCAAGATTGAGATTACGAAAATCAACACAAATTCTTATTGCTCCAATCTTTTTCTTTACATGTACAATATTTGAAAGTCATTCTACATACCTAGCTGGCCTAATAAACTTGGCTTTAACAAGCCTTACAATTTCTTCCTTAACCTGTAATTCTACTTCTGTCGGCATTCGGCGAGGTGACTGCTTGAAGGGCTTGAAATCCTCCGTTGTTGGTAAGCGATGCTCGACTAAGTCACGACTCAATCCAGGCATCTCAGTGTAATCTCAAGCAAAGCAATCCTTGAATTCTCTCAAAAGCTCCTCCATCTTGATCCGAAGCTCTGGCTCCATTAGGCCACTAATGTAGATTGGCCAATGGTTGTCTTCCGTTGCTAGGTTGATCTCCAATAGCGGATCTTGGGCTTATGCCTTTGAATCATCCATCTCAGTTAGCGCCAACTCAACTTCCTCAAGTTCGAGTGCATCATCTTCCGGACCTTCGTGGAGGAATTCCACCAAATGAGCGGTGGACCCATGTTCGGCCGCTCTCTTGGCCTAATGCACTAAAATGAGGAATTCCAACAATGCACTAAAATGAGCCATTGTTTCTACCACGAAGAAGGCTGTCATCCTGACATTTCCTCCTACTCTGACTTGGAGTGGGATGATCCCCTTTGATCTTGTGGTGTCTCCCACAAAGCCACTGACCGTTGTCTCGGTCAGGATTAGTTCATCTGAATTCTTCTTCAATTTCTTCATCACCGAGGATGGGAGGATGTTCACTGTGGCACCTGCGTCAACTAGAACCTTGCTCACCGGAACCCCATCAAAATGAGCACTCACGTACAAAGGTTTAAGGTGGGAAGCCATCCTCTTGGTGGGCATTTCATAGCACACCTTCTCCGTCATTTTCTTCTCTAAGCTTGGCACCACGATTTGAGGCTGAGCTACCTCCGCCTTAGGGATTTCCCGAGTCACATTGATTTCCTTTGGTTCTCCCATCTGAGCCATAAATTCGACTTCGTCGAAAACATCACCTTCCATGGAGTTTGGTTGACCCGGCTGAGCTTCGAAAAATAACGAAAGTGTGACCACCATGGCCTCAACTTCATCGAAGTCCCCAAACTTCACCTTGGTCTTCCCACCTTCAACTCATTATCTAGCTTCACCATCTCTTCCTTATGTTCCTTAGCTAGCTGCTCCATAACTTCTTTTGTAAGTTCTTCGAAATACTCGTCATCACCATACTCTTCATCTTCCCCATAAAGCTCTTTATCAGCAGCCAAAGTGCCTTCTGGGTTTTCTGAGGCTTCTTTGGCCTCAACATCGGCCGTAGGCTCAGCCTTTTCTTCCGTCTCGGGTGTTTGAACATCGACTATAACTTGGTCCTCTTCCACCTTTGGCTTATCTTTTCTTGTATGGGGCTTACCCCTAACATTTTCGACCATTTCATGGTCATTCCCTTCTTTCTCATCAACCTCAGAGGGTGATACCACCTTAGTGGCTACTTGACTCTTGAGAATCGGAGGCTTGGCCTTCAATTGAACCCTCCTAGATTTCTCAACTTTTGATGACCCATCATTCAGCCCCTTCATTGGCCCACTCAGCCCCTTTATTGGCCCACTGGATTCGGCCTTGGAATTGTTTGCTTCGAAAGCTCCACTCAAATGAGCCTCCAACTCCAATATTGGCTCATTTAAGGCTGTCACCACAACTTGGTCATTTGCCCATTGTCGGCGGATTTTCATTTCTACTGCCGCTGCTGCCTCCAGCGAAGCCACGGCATCGGCTTTGGCCAACTCCAACTCTTCCAGCCGAAGTTTTTCTCGAAGCTTAAGTAATCGGTTAAGTTGGGCTTGCCTCTCGTCGGCTCAATTAAACTCCGCATTACATGAGGCAGCATATTGTCTTTGAGCTCTTCTTGTTTGAGTCTTGCTTAAAGGTACCGGAGGAAGCTTTGAACCTCTACTCATATACCACTGACTTGCCTTGGTGTTTGGCATCTTGAATGTTGAAACGCCACTACCATCTGCTAGGCAAGGTCTCAATACATAATCCATATCTTGATTCTTTCCTTCTTCCACCGAAATCCACATGCTTCTATTTTCGTTTCGGCTTGGGTTC